GAGGGGGGGCAGGTGCCAAAGCAATCAAGGCAAACGTCTGTCTGGCTTTTGGCTCCACCGATCAATCCCAGTGATGCTCGCTGGTGGCGGGAGGGCGGTGACTGCAGTCCAGACAGCGTTGCTTGGCCTTGAGAACGTCTGGGCACGTTCTCTAAAAAGTGAGGCAGACAGGATTAATTAGAATAGAATAACAGAATTGGAAGGGACCTTGTAGGTCATCTAGTCCAGCCCCGCCCCGCCCAAGCAGGAGACCCTACAACATTTCTGACAGATGGCAGTGGAAAGCTTCCAGGGATGAGGCTCCCACAAGCTGACTTTCTGTGCCCAGCCAGCTGTGTCCAGATGTTCAAAGAGGCCTCTGAGGCTGGAACGCAGCTCCCTTCGACGGCCCGGCCGTGGTGAGGGTGACCGTCCAACCAATTTGGGGAATTCCCCAGCTTGCTCTACTTTGCAATTCTAGTCTCATGCTACTTCCTTTCTCTTGTAAAAATGTAAGGGCAGGTAAGCGGGGATCGATCAATCACCAATCAATCAGAATAGAACTGGAAGGGACCTTGGAGGTCTTCTAGTCCAGCCCCCTGCTTAAGCAGGAGACCCTAAAGCAGGGGTAGGCAACCTTGTCTCTTTTATGACTCGTGGACTTCAACTCCCAGAATTCCTGAGCCAGCTATGCAGGGGTAGGCAACCTTGGGTCTTTTATGACTCGTGGACTTCAACTCCCAGAATTCCTGAGCCAGCATAGCTGGCTCAGGAATTCTGGGAATTGAAGTCCACGAGTCATAAAAGACCCAAGGTTGCCTACCCCTACGCCTAAACCATTTCAGACAAATGGCTGTCCAGTCTCTTCTTAAAAACCTCCAGTGATGGAGCACCCACGACTTCTGGACGCAACGTCTGTTCCGCTGGTTAATTGTTCTAGCCCTCAGGAAGTTTCTCCTTAATCCCTTGATTCGTTTCCATCCGTTGTTTCTCGTCCTGCCTTCTGGTGCTTTGGAAAAAATAAGTTGACCCCTCCTTCTTTGTGGCCGCCTGTCAAAGCCCCTCCATTAGGGCAGGGGTCTTCAACCTTGGCAACGGAAAGACTTGCAGACTTCAACTCCCAGAATCTGGAGTTTGGGGAGCCCTGAATTAGAGGGTAAAACCTTTTTAAGCCTAGCTGGTTTAAAAAGACAAAACGAAACAGCCGTTGCAGCAAAGAAGAATGACGATGGAGCGTCAGAGGCTGCAGCCTGACTCAGCAGCCCTGCAAAATGGAAATGGCATTTTGTGTGCCCAGTTCTAGTGGATGGTTTTGCCCCAGAGAAGAGGCCTCCCAGGGAAGCAGCTTTGGCACAGGATGGAGATAATCCTGCTGCATCGTAATTAATAGTAGCCCGGCCTTAAGGGGGGGAAGGGTCAGCAGCAGGGCTGCCATCTGCCTGGCTGGGCCACGAGGCCGGGCACATGTCTGCCCGAAATAGGCCACCTTCCTCCATTGACGCAACTGAGGCGCTGCAAAGGCCGGGTTGGCAGGAGGGCAGAACGGAGCCTTTGGCAAAGAGGCAGATTGTGGCCCCGATGCCATGACGACGGAGGCCGTTCCGACTGATGCTCCAGAATGATAATTTTCTCTCTTCTAAGGCATCTGGAGGGGGGGGGGGAATGCAGCAGTTGTGACTCTGAGCAGGTGCAGAGTGCCATTTGTTTACTTGACCTTCACCTGTATTAACGGGGAGAGAATTAAGGTCAGGTGAAGTGTTAATACCACTTTACAAGGCCTTGGTAAGGCCACACTTGGAATACTGCATCCAGTTTTGGTCACCGCGATGTAAATATGATGCTGAGACTCTGGAAAGAGTGCAGAGAAGAGCAACAAAGATGATCAGGGGACTGGAGGCTAAAGCATATAAGGAAAGGCTGCTGGAATTGGGTAGGTCTAGTTTAATGAAGAGAGGGACGAGGGGGTCATGATAGCAGTCTTCCAGTATCTCAGGGGCTGCCCCAAAGAAGAGGGAGTCAAGCTATTCTCCAAAGCGCCTGAAGGCAGGACAAGAAGCAACGGATGGAAACTAATCAAGGAGAGAAGCAACCCGGAACTAAGGAGGAATTTCCTGAACAATCAGTGGACTTGCCTTCAGAAGTTGTGGGTGTTCCATCGCTTGAGGTTTTTAAGAAGAGACTGGACAGTCATTTGTCTGGAATGGTCTAGGATCTCCTGCTTGAGCAGAGGTTGGACTAGATGACCTCCAGGGTCCCTTCTAATTCTGTTATTCCGTCTTCTCTTCCTACCGTCGAGAAGAGAAGGCTTTTACCGCGCTCACAAACCATGGGCAAAGGAAAACATCTGCAGTTACTTTTTTCCCCTTAGTTCATCACAATATAAAATGCGGAAATATGAAGAGAAATGGGAATAATGGGAAATTAGGAGAGGAGAAGGGGAAGAGAAAAAAATGTAGGGTAAAAGGGAAAAGAAAAACAAAAGCATGGACTTCCAACTCTTTTGGGCACACTAGAACAAGTTGGAAGGGACCTTGGAGGTCATCTAGTCCAACCCCCTGCTCAGGCAGGAAACCCTATACCAGGGGTGTCAAACTGCCAGCCCGTGGGCCGGATGCATCATCCCAAAACCACGCCCACCCCATTGCCAGCAACGGAGAAAAAGCTCCGATACATCGCGCAACGTCATGTGATGTCGCGAGTTTGACATGCCTGCCCTATACCATTTCGGACAAATGGCTGTCCAGTCTCTTCTTAAAAACATCCAGTGTTTTGGAGCATTCACCACTTCTGGAGGCAAGGAGTTCCACTGGTTAATTGTTCTCACTGTCAGGAAGTTTCTCCTTAGTTCCAGGTTGCTTCTTTCCTTGATCAGTTTCCATCCGTTGCTTCTTGTCCTGCCTTCAGGTAATAAACATACCACCTCAATTTTTTACTTTTACATAATAATAATAATAATAATAATAATAATAATAATAATAATAATAATAATAATAATAATAATAATAATAATATATACTAGCCTTTTCTATGACAGCCAGCCTGTCTCATCAGCACAATCCAAACTCAAAAGTTTCACTTTTTCCCCACCTCAAGCACTAAGTCCAGAACCGGTTTCCAAACACCTGGGAAGGGGCTGCTTTGAACCCTTAGCCAGGCTGACTGAATCTCAGTAGATCAAACCTGGGCAGTTTATGGCCTCTGGGCCACATCTGGCCCTTTGGCTGTTCCTGCTGGCCCCCCGCCTGAGGTCAGTCGGAAATTAGACATTAAATGTGAATAACCATATGCCCTGCACGTAATACAACTGCATTTCTTTTATTTTGAAGGCAACTGCTATTTTAATTTTCATAGGTGCCTACACAATTTCACAGCCCTCCATAACAGTCCCAGTTTCTCAGCTGGCCCCTCAGGAAGGTTAATTGCCCCCTCCCCACAATAGAGAGACAAAGCATAAAAAAAATAACCATCTTGTGCTAGCGTTTCATTGTGGCCGGATAAAAGTTTAGGAAAAGGACATTTTTAATGTCTGCATTTGCACCTTTCCGCCCTCCCCCCAAAAAGGGAGTTAAAAATTCAAGGAAGGGAAAAGGGGAGGGGGGAGGAAAGGGGGTCTGGTATATATGGAATTTGCGCAGATCGCCCAGATGACCTCTTTCCATTTGTGGCGTGTTTTGTTTGCAAATGCAGAATCTAAGTTGGTAACTCGGCCAGTGGATTTAGAGCAGGGGTCTTCAAACTTGGCCCTTTGATGACTTCTGGACTTCAACTCCCAGAATTCCTCAGCCAGCCTCCATTTTGTTTGTTAGATGTAAGACAGGGGTCTTCCAACTTGGCCCTTTTATGACGTGGACTTCAACTCCCAGAATTCCTCAGCCAGGCACGCTGGCTGAGGAATTCTGGGAGCTGAAGTCCACAAGTCATCAAAGGGCCAAGTTGGAAGACCCCTGATTTAGATCACAGATGGGCAAAGATGGCCCCTGGACGGCCTGTGGACTTCAACTCCCAGAATTCCTCAGCCAGCCATACTGGCTGGCTCAGGAATTCTGGGAGTTGAAGTCCACAGGCCGCCAAGGGGCCATCCTTGTCCATCCGTAGACGATAAAGACACGATAGCCCTGGCCATTGTTGAGTGACACGTTTGGATGCCCTTCCAGAGACACCTATCAAGATGACCCACCAGTACCCCCCGCTCACTGCCGAGCAGAAGAAGGCGCTTTCGGACATTGCCCAGCGGATCGTGGCCCCGGGCAAGGGCATCCTGGCCGCCGATGAGTCCGTAGGTGGGTCTGCCGGAGAGGGAGGGGGGGTGAGCAGCCTGGCATTTGGGGAGTGGGTCTGGAGGCATCTCTTCCAGGGGGGGCATCTTTCCAGCAGGCAAGGGAGGGGGGCTCCTGGGAAAAGCTGGGGTCCCACTTTTCAAAGACGCTTTTGGATTCCTCTCCTGGGGGCACGAAGGACCCCTCCCCATTATGGAAGAGGGAGGGATTGCTGGGGGGGGNGGCCCGACGGGGGTCGTAAGTGGAGGATTGCCTGTAGTTGGGGAGAGTCCAGGCTGAAGGGACGGAGGGACGGAGGGCGGGCCCAGGCTGTGACAAGGCAGGGGGGGTCCCCAACTCAGGGTGGCTTTTTGGGGTCCCCCGCAGGCAGCATGGCCAAGCGGCTGAACCAGATCGGGGTGGAGAACACGGAGGAGAACCGCCGTCTCTACCGCCAGATCCTCTTCAGCGCCGACAGCCGGGTCAAGACGTGCATCGGGGGGGTCATCTTCTTCCACGAGACCCTCTACCAGAAGGCCGACGACGGCACCCCCTTCGTGGACCTGGTCCAGGACAAGGGCCTCGTGGTGGGCATTAAGGTGATTGCCGAGACCCCCCCACCCACCCATCCCGGCTCCTGAAAAGATGGGGAGCCTCCCCCCCTCCTGCTTCGCCTTGCCTGAAGACCCCGCCCAGTTGGGGGGGGCAGCAGTGCCGAACAAGAGACGTCAGCGGTTCGGAGTTCGGATCCTGAAGACAGGGGTTGGGGATGGCTGGGAAGCACCTTCCAGGCCCCCTATATGCAGCTGTCCAGGGAATAACAAGAGGCGGAAGGGGCCTTGGGGGGCTTCTAGTCCATCTGATTTCTACAGGGAATCAGAAGCCCCCCCTGAGCTGTGGAATTAGCGTCCAGCTGCTCCTCTGCAGCCCGGGAGGGGAGGGGAGGGGAGGGGGGGAAGCCCACCCGGGTTGTCCAATCAGACAGAAAGGTCACCGGTCTGGGATGGGAAGAGCTGAGGGGTCCTGGGTGCTCTCTGAGGTGGGTGGGGGTCTTGCAGACGTTTCATGACCCGACTAGGGAACGTCATCAGTGCTGGAAGAAAATGGGGCTCACTTCCTTGTTTACATAGAGCAGTTTCCCCCTGCATAAAAGGGAGAGAACTCCTCCCTCGCACTGATGATGTTCCCTAGTTGGGTCATGAAACGTCTGCAAGGAAACCACCCAACTCAGAGAGCACTGAGGACCCCACAGTCCTCCTTCTCCTTCCTCCTCCTCCTCCTCTCTGCAAATCCCCCTCCCTTCTAGCCCTGGTGATGTTCCCTAGTTGGGTCATGAAACGTCTGCAAGAAAACACCCCCAGCTCAGAGGGCACCCAGGACCCCACAGCCTTCCTCTTCTTCCTCCTCTTCTTCTTCCTCCTCCTCTTCCTCCTCCTCCTCCTCCTCCTTCTCCTCTTCCTCCTCCTCCTCCATTTCTGCAAACCCCCCTCCCTTCTAGCAGTGATGATGTTCCCTAGTTGGGTTACAAAATGTCTGGCAGAAAACCACCCAGCTCAGAGAGCACCAAGGACCCCCCAGTCCTCCTCCTCCTCCTCCTCCTCCTCCTGCAAGGAAACCCCCCAGCTCAGAGACCACCGGGGACTCCTCATTTCAACCCTGAGCTACAAAGATTCTCCTTTATCGCTTGCCTTCCTGAGCGATCTTGCAAAATTGCCCTTTGGGTGCTGCAGGCTGAGCCCCCTCCCCTTCAGAGGGGAGTCAGGGCTCTGCCACCCCACCCCACACCCCCCGCAGGAGGAGCCCACCTGCCCCCCCCCCCCGCACCAGCCTGTAATCCTCCCCGTGGGGGTCCTGGGGAGACTGCCGCCCTAACCAGCCTCTGCTTCCTTCCCAGGTGGACAAAGGGGTGGTGCCCCTGGCCGGCACGGATGGAGAAACCACCACCCAAGGTAGGGGCAGAGGCAGGGGGCTGACTGGGCAGGTGGGGGGGTGTGTGTGAGCCCCTCACTTGGATTCTGTGGGTGGTTAGATCAGGCCTTGGCGCTGCGTAAGGTGGTGTGCTGCAGTGTTGACATGCATTCTGTTTCCTCCCTCCCTTTTTCTTTCCTTCCTTCCTCCCTCCCTCCCTCCCTCTTCACCACCTTGCTTCCTTCCTCCTTCCTTTTTTCTTCCTGCCTACCTTCCCCTTCACTACCTACCTCCCTTCCTTCCTCCCTCCCTCTCTTTTTCCTTCCTTCCTTCCTTCCTTCCTTCCTCCCTCTCTCCCTTTTTCCTTCCTTCCTTCCTGCCTCCCTCTTCGCCACCTTCCTCCCTCCCTCCCTCCCTTTTCTTCTTGCCTTCCTGCTTTCCTCTTCGCTACCTTCCTCCCTCCCTCTCCCTTTTTCCTTCCTCCCTTCCTTCCTTCCTTCCTTCCTCCCTCC